AACAGAGGCAATTTTGAAGAAACTCACTTGCCTAATGAGAGCACATGTATCACATGTGGTTCGTTGTGGGGCATGACGGAAATCCTAGAAACTCTCAGGAGTCAAGCTGCCAAACACGGCCACCCATCCAAGGACTGTCTGAGCTCGACGTTGTTTAACTTCCAACTGATTCGTAACATGAGTTTTGTGCACAGGACCACTATGAGTACTGCCAAGATAATTACAGTTTGACCACTGTCAAGAACCAATGAGTGTCACTAACAGGATTGAGTATTCAGGTTCACTGACTTGGTAGACGAATGTCATGAGTCGAAAATGGTTACACTAGTCCTGTCTATTGGTGTATTTTCTGCAGAATATTTAGATATTGCCGTCATATTGCTGGAATATTGCTGGGCGCGTACTACATATCATCGTGGTCTGTGGAGGTGGGACTGATTCTGTACGAGTGATTGAGTATTCTTCAGGACGCTGTTGGCAGTATTCAAGGCATGTCGCGGGTCCATTGAGCGTCATACTAGTCTTCAAAATGCATTGTATGGTTGCCTTGCGCTGGCAACAATGGGTACAACAAGGCTGTCGGCTCGGAGTCCATGGTGGGTCTGAGTGGGGAGTATTCATGCTTCACTGTGGGCTAGCACTATAAACCAGCTTAAGTCTGGGCTGGTTCGAGTATCCCCACATGGGCACACACGCATGAAGTCATATGAGCTGAAATATTCTCCCGTAAAACCCATATCACCATTCCATTGAAACACCAGTCTTCATGCATTGTATTTTGTGTAACAACCATTAAGGCTGTTTCCATGGTTAAGTGGGTGCAGCGTCTGCCTGGAGAGCGGATGTTCGTGGTTCGATCCCTGTCCGCGCCATGCCAAATAGGTTAAAAGATGTTCAGCATTGAGGGGTGAAACGGAAACGTCGGTTCAGTGTCAGTATCTGTGTCTGAGTGGGGTATCCGTGGCATGGTGTCTCAGTCGGCTGGAATCTTTAAAAGGAATTATCCGGACTGTTATCAGCAGCCAAACAATGTGATTGCCGGCCTTAGTGCAATGATCTTGGATGCGATGATAACTGGATTTCACCCCAACTCACCAACAAACTATTTTTCACCCCATCTAACCAACAAATTACATTTCACCCCATCTCACCAACAAATTACATTTCACCCCATCTCACCAACAAATTACATTTCACCCCATCTCACCAACAAATTACATTTCACCCCATCTCACCAACAAATTACATTTCACCCCATCTCACCAACAAACTACATTTCACCCCATCTCACCAACAAATTACATTTCCACCCCAACCAACAAATTACATTTCACCCCATCTCACCAACAAATTACATTTCACCCTCACCATCAAATTACATCACCAACAAACAACATTTCACCCCATCTCACCAACAAATTACATTTCACCCCATCTCACCAACAAATTACATTTCACCCCATCTCACCAACAAATTACATTTCACCCCATCTCACCAACAAAATTACACCCCCAACCAACAAATTACATTTCACCCCACCAACAAATCTCACCCCAACAAATTACATTTCACCCCATCTCACCAACAAATTACATTTCACCCCATCACCAACAAATTACATTTCACCCCATCTCACCAACAAATTACATTTCACCCCATCTCACCAACAAACTATTTTTCACCCCATCTCACCAACAAATTACATTTCACCCCATCTCACCAACAAATTACATTTCACCCCATCTCACCAACAAATTACATTTCACCCCATCTCACCAACAAACTTACATTTCACCCCATCTCACCAACAAATTACATTTCACCCCATCTCACCAACAAACTACATTTCACCCCATCTCACCAACAAATTACATTTCACCCCACCTCACCAATAAACTGCATTTCACCCCATCTCACCAACAAATTACATTTCACCCCACCTCACCTATAAACTGCATTTCACCCCATCTTACAAATAAACTGCATTTCACGCCATTTCACAAACTAAATTTCACCCTGTCTCACCAACAAACAAATAAAAACAAAGAGATTGAGTTGGGATATATTTTCATTACAAGCAAATATACCTGATCAAGTGAGCCTCCAGCTATACAACTGTGTTGAAGAGTGAAATAACAGCGTCTATCGAGGCTACAAACTCACCATGTGTTCCAGTAATGACTGTACATAATGACCGTCTTTATTTACACAGCAAATATCTACTATATCACATGGCAAACATACTCTGTATGTTTTACATTCTTCTATTTCTTTGTTGTTAATTCCATAATGTAGGAAAGATTTCAATGAATCATTATATACTCTTAGAAATGAATAAGGGAACACATGAAAGTACAAGTGTTCCTTTATCTATTTCCGGAATTTCACTCACAGTGCAATACATACCTTGTGAAGAAACCTGGAAACGAATACTTTCATGTGTTCCCTTATTTGTTTCCATGAGTATATAATTGGAAATTACTAGTTTCACTTACCAGTATTACAAAATAAGTTTTTAAGGATTCAAATTTATTTAAATTTTGAATAATTATTTGATTTTTAAAGATAACCTACAAGGTCAGTTTACAAAATGTGTTGTCCCATTAAGAACAGAAACACATTAATTTCGTCAAACCAATGAGTTTATAATATTTAAACTACTCCCTGCTTAAACTGCCACTAGAGTTTGTACCTCGTCTACCGGGACAGTTTGTGCCGTAGGTGCAGTAAACCAACATGACAACCTACGCCATCATACATACACAGTACCTACTCCTGCAGGATCTGGTTGCTATAGCAACAAGGCTATGGCATTATCGATGAGAGACCCTGCTTCTGAGGAAATAAAAACTTCCACAAAATTTACTAAATTGGAATGTGACAGCACAAAATAATGTTTTCATCAGTCTTAAATTATATGGTTGCTCGTCAATATTTTTACAACGACCATTGGTCCAGTTTAACAAATAGTCCATTGTCCATGAAATAACCGCTGTGATAAATGAGCCCAGGTTCTGTGAGTATATAGGTATTTGCCTGAGGGTTATATTTAAAACACTTTATGAATACTTGTACTATACAAAAACGAATTGTCATCACATCATCAATTGAAAGACAATTCATAAACTGAATAAATTTAACTAAAAAATCTCTCAAAGGAAAGACGGAAGAGAATTATGGGGCCTGAATAGATTAAACAGGAATTCATTTGATTATTTGGTGAATGTTGGTCTAGAAAAATACATTAGAAGTTTGCGAGAACATACTAAGCTTTAAACATAATGAAATCATCTTGTGAATGTGATTCAGTGAAAAAGATATGTCAACAAAAACACAAACAGTATTAACTAATAGATAAATAATATCGATATACAGAGATATACGCTCACCAGAGAAAGATATACATAACACAAAGTCAATCATGTCACAGACTATAATTGTAAAGGAGATACAGTGGAAACCTGATAAGTAAAATTTCAGAATAACAGACAACATTTGTAAGTAAATATGGCCTCCAGTTGTCAGTGTATTGTCAACTGCATGACGCCAGTGAGCTGTAAGTAGGATGTTTGTTTAGCTGGAGACTGACACGACTGCCCCTCATGTCGGATTATGTGGTGATCGCTAATTTAGTTATCCGATCCCTTTTGTTAAGTAATTTACTTCTAGGGACCGTGAGAAGACGTTTAGTTAAGCGGTATTGTTTACTTATTCGAGTTTAGTTAAGCGGACTCTAATAGTGATAATTAATGAAGAAATTTTCCGGGACCAAAGAAAAGTGTTCACTTCTCCGGTCTGTTTAGTTAAGCGGTCTTTACTTAAGTGGTTTCCACTGTAATTAATATGCAGAGACAAAAAAGATTACTCATCTAACAGGTTTAAATTTGAGTATTTTGAATAATTTATTGATCATTGATACTAATATGCATAATTTCAAAGATTACAATCATTGCAAAAAAATGGCAAAATCCATAATAACTAAAACTTAGGAAAATGGGAAATTGAGCGGGGTCGTTCCATGAAGTGATCTTAGTACTAAGGTGATCGTAACTCCCATACGTTAACACTGGCCTGTGGTAGTCGTAGCAGTAAGATCGATTTGTGGAACGGAGCCCAGTTACACCTGCTACAAAAACTACACAACTACAAATGAAATTGAAAGTGTATATAGGTGTGATCACAAAGTTATGTCAACATGGCTAAAACGATATGATATCTGAAAATACATGTAATTTCTAGCAAATATTCATAAATAACAACCTATAAAAGAAGAACTAGAATTGCTTAGGATTTGGAATTTACACAATGTGCATAGTTCAGTGATATCGTTACACTCAGATTTCTCTCAGAGAAATATTAACGTGCATATACAGTTTGTGATAATGGCTGAAAAATTGAGAACCATGCATAAACTCATAGTTTCATCAAAGTGATGGAAACGCGAATTCCACTTGCGTGTTGGAATAATTCAAATTGTCCAAAAAGTGACACAATTGCTAAAGAACTTTGATGAAACCAAGACTTTGGTCGAAGATGCATTTATTATTCACTATAACAATTTAAAAAGGAATTCAACAACAACTTCAACAAGTTATATAGTTTTGTAAATCTGAAAGTGCACTTGATTGTGTGTAGCATTAAGGTACACTTACAGAATACCGGATACCTAATTATATACATTCTATTGTGCGCGTGAGGCTCTTATATATAGAAGAAACAGAGAGCTCGATCCTGCGAGCGATCCAATAAAAATACAAATTTAAGGTAAAAAATAAGGTTAAAATCGAATTCCTCACCTTACTTCCGGTTTAGGAAACCTAAACTGGGGATTCTAACAGCGTTCACTGATGTAAACAGAGTAAAAAGTAATCGTGTGTTGAAATTTTATTCAAATGCATGCTGGGAAAAGGAACTCTACAGTGTGGGAACACTCTGATGGTAAGTGTTTTTTGATTGGTAAGGTAAGGTAGGTAAGGCTTTTAAATAAGGGGTACCCCCTTTACCCCCATTATCTTACCTTTTTTTAGCTTTAATATTGTTTAATATTTAATATTTAATATTGAACGCTGCTTCAACACAGCCTTCATTCATGTTGTGCCGTTGCCAAGGAAACAAAACGGAAGTGCGCAAAAATAAATGCGCAATCAAAATAAAAATGGCGGATAGGTATCCGGTATTCTGTAATCTGGCCAGCATTAATATACCATCATTCTAGTGAATATGCCAGACACACTATTCCTGACTATATCATGTGTTTGATGTTCCCAGATAACAGCACATATACTGAGAGAAACAAATAAAGGAACACAGGAAAATTCAAGTGTTCCTTTAATATCGTCCAGTTTCCATCACAAGTTTTGAATCGCTCTGTGGGAGGAAATCTGTGAATATATAAAGGAACACTGCCATGAAGTGGTGTTCCCTTATTTGTTTCCCTCAGTATATTTCCAAACACTGAATACTGGGACAGCTAATCACAAACACCCAAGTTCCAATATCTACAACATATATATGGAGTCGGTAAACATTCTAGGACTTGGATGTTGAAAGCAGGCGAATTTTAATTCCTGGATCAATCCTGCTTCCATTATACAAAGATAAAATACCTATTTATAGACGTTAAAGTCCAAGACACTACTGATTCGAGTTGTATAGAGAGGTAGGACTACTCCCCAAAGCACTTCCATAAATAAAGATACAACTTTGATGAAGAATTTAAAGTAAGGTAAAATCTTCCAAATGCTTTCTCATGCTATTCCAATCCGTAAAATCACATTTTCATGTGGTGTAAACTTAACATTCCATAAAAGTATTTTTCCCATCTCTTTCTTATCAGTAAAATCTGACAATTCATGAGGTGTAAACAACCCACCCCCATGTTTCAGCTTAGTGGAGACTATTTTGTGCAGTGGTGGACTACCATGCTGTTTAAAATCTGTGAAAATCTATGGATATAAACTGGAAGCCAGGGAGATATTTATTTCATAATATACCAAATATCTGACTTCACACTGATACACTGAAACAACCTCATCCGATGAAAGATATTATATCACCCAAAAGCAATTTGATGTCACTTTCCCGAGAACATATCTATATCACATCATGTGAGATATATTTGTATATCACACCTTAACATATTGTATATCTCATTGTATCGTATAACGGCCATGACATACCATGATATATATATGTCGTATATCTCGATACTGATATTGAGATATGCTGCACATATATCACACAGTGATATATCCATACATGATATACTGTGCATCTCCCCAATGATATACTGTATATCCTGCTGCAGCCAATGTGGAAAGGAGGAATGAACATGATGAACTTTCAACACTGTATCACAGTTTCAACGCTATTTGGTAGTATTAATGAAATGGGCCGATAACAGTCATGAAAACTACAGTCAGAAACATCATTTAAATCTAACTGAATAATGAACAAAAACAAAACTATTAACACCCATCATATATAGAACACAACTAAAATTCACCTTCTATAATGAATAATTTCTTCATAGATAACTTCACCCAATACATGATCCGTTAACTTCTATGCTTCAATTAAACTCAATCCCACTGCCTGAAATCAACCATTCAACTGTTTTTTCTAATTGTATTCCACAGAATGACATCCCAAGTCATGAACTTAATTATAGCTTAACATCAGCCTGTATGTTTATGAATTTTAAAGTAAAAATAAATCCCTAAAACATTCCAGCAATCCCATTTTACAACAACCCTCCATTTGATCAGTGAAAGATCCATACAAATAGCCAGGAGATCAACCTATAGGGTTAACTCAACTCAGTCATGCCCAGAAAGGTGAATCCTCGACATACATTGTTGGCACAAATTGACACATAATGCTAAAGTCCATCTACATGTTCTTATTATGGGAAACTTCATCTAAACAAATTATTGCTCTTCCTCCTTCTTGCTATCACTCATATCCTTCCTGGCTTTGAATCCCTTGAATCCAGCCTGAATCTTCAGAGCTGCCTTTTCCACATCAGGGTCATCCAGATCAATGTCCACCTCTTCCTCCTCTTCAGTCTTTGCCTCCTGCTTTGTTTCTTCGTTCTCAGATTTGGTGGGGGAAGCTTCTCCTGAGGCCTTCATCTCCTTACGAGCCTTGAATCCTTTGAAGCCTGACTGAATCTTGACAGCTGCCTTCTCAACCTCGGGATCAGTGAGATCGATATCAACCTCCTCTTCCTCCTCCTGCTTGCTTTCTTCTGGGGCAGCCTCTGTGGTAGTTTCTGACAGAGGAAACTTTGCATGTTAACACAATATTAAACTACCAACAAGGTTGTTAGCTTGTTTCTTGTTTGTTTGTTTGTTTGTTTGTTATTTAACGCCGCACTCAGCAATATTCCAGCTATATGGCAGCGGACGTAAATAATCGAGTCTGGACCACACAATCCAGTGATCAACAGCATGATCATCGATGTACGCAATTGGGAACCGATGACATGTGTCAAGCAAGTCAGCGAGTCTGACCGACCGATCCCGTGAGTCGCCTCTTACAACAAGTATGGGTTACTGAAGATCAATTCTAACCTTGATCTTCACAGGTAGTTTAGTCTGTTTCTACATACCCCATTAAGCAATATTCTAGAAATATGATGGTGGCATAGAATTAAGTCTAAACTTGACAGTCTAGTGATTGATATTGTGAGCAAAGATTTTATCACAAAGCCTGACAACTGAATCTGTTACAGCAGGGATTTGGCATAGTGATGATGTTGATACATGAGTGAGTGAGTGAATTTAGTTTTACGCCGCTTTTAGCAATATTCCAGCAACATCATGGCGGGAGACACCAGGAATGGGCTTCACACATTGTACCCATGTGGGGAATCGAACCCGGGTCTTCGGCGTGACGAGCGGACACTTTAACCACTAGGCTACCCTGCTACCCCTGCTGACACTTGAACACACACTTTTGAGCGGTTTCAAAACTGTTTTGTCAGTTGAAGCACTTCGATGTTATACTGTTACAATCTTAACAAATGGCAACACTCCATTTGCCGATGTCCAATGTTGGTGTTTCACCTCTAGTGACCAGTCTAGAACAGGAACCCTTTCTGACACGGGATGCGTAATTCCTGTGTATTTGACTCAACAATTCTCCAAAATACTAACCAAAATATTTTCACACAAGTTATAGCTGATGCATTATTTTTTAAAAAGAGAGAAACTTGAACCCAATTAACTTCACTAAATACAATAAGCACTGGCCTACCCACCGCACCCACATGAAGTAGGAGGACTTTGCTTGCCTACCTGAATTGGTATTGGTCATGTCCTTGCGGGTTTTGAATCCCCGGAACTGTGCCTGAATCATAACGGCAGCCTTCTCAGTCTGGGGATCCTCCAGATCTATATCAATCTCCTCTTCCTCTGGTTTGGCCTCAGCAGCTGCTGGTGGAGCCTCTTCCTCGCCCTGGAATACAAACATACACAGTAAGTGTGTGAGTTAGTCATTTCGGTCATGGGATGGATTTTTGGGGGAGGAAAGTCACCAGTGATGATAATCACCACTTTCCAGAAACCTGCAAGGATGGTGCTGACTCTCAAAGCATTACAAGTCGGGCAAAAAACCCATGATCTTAGGATTCTGACCATAGCTGAACCAACTGTACACATCTGACACACAGAGCGATCATCTGACACACACAGCGATCATATGACTAACACAGCTATCACCTCACTGACACAGTGATCATCTGACTCACACAGTGATCATCTGACTGACACAGTGATCATCTGACTCACACAGCGATCATCTGACTGACACAGCGATCATCTGACTGACACAGCGACCATCTGACACGCACAGCGATCATATGACTCACACAGCTATCACCCCACTGACACAGGGACCATCTGACACACACAGCCATCATCTGACTCACACAGTGATCATCTGACTCACACAGCGACCATCTGACTGACACAGAGATCATATGACTGACACAGTGATCATCTGACTGACACAGTGATCATCTGACTCACACAGCGATCATCTGACTGACACAGCGACCATCTGACATGCACAGCGATCATATGACTCACACAGCTATCACCCCACTGACACAGGGACCATCTGACACACACAGCCATCATCTGACTCACAGTGATCATCTGACTCACACAGCGACCATCTGACTGACACAGAGATCATATGACACACACAGCGATCATCTGACTGACACAGCGATCATTTGACTGACACAGTGACCATCTGACTCACACAGGGACCATATGACTCACACAGGCACCATATGACTCACAGAGGGACCACCTGACTGACACAGCGACCATATGACTCACACAGTGGCCATCTGACACACACAGCAATCACCTCACTGACACAGGGACCATCTGATGTTGACAACTAATATTCCTCCGGAGTTTGATAGTTACTGACCCTCTGTTTCCCTGCTGTTTCACACATTCCTATCGTTGGATATAACAATATCTGTCTGTTAACTAGAGACCCAAATACATGAACTCAAGTGATCATTAGCAAGTTAGTGCCACAGCAACAAACAGCCAAAGAAGCCCACCACAGTCACCTACCTTCAAGGCCTGGACCTCCTTACGGGCCTTATGGCCTTTGAATGAGGCCTGAATTTTGGTGGCTGCTTTCTCGACCTCCGGGTCATTGAGATCTATATCTATTTCCTCTTCCTGTTTCTCCTCTGCAGGAGGTGGAGCGGGGCTTTCCTCTGTCTGGAAGCAGAGGGCGCCACATCACACACACATCACACATACCACACATGTGAGTAGGTTACCATGGTTATGCCTGTATTAGTAATTAATTACACCAGACTAAACACTTCAAGTCATTAAAAAGCACATGTCTTATATCTTCTGAAAAAAGAAGAAGTTATTCACAAAAAAATTATAAAAAATATTATCTGTAATGATAATAGAGGTTGACTCTTTTCTTAGACAAAAACATCACAAATGTTCACTATTACGAAAAAAACCCATTCGATATAAATTGAAATACATTTTATCATTTAGCGGAGGCTTTTACATGCTACTTCAATAAATGAAAAACGTAAGTGTATATACACATCACAATATAATTAGTTGCACAGGCAATATCCTCAGATCTGCTTCCCTGGTATGTCCAGAACAATACATATATTATCAGTGACAATACATGCAAGCTACTTATACATTGGTTGTATGTTCAATAAGGATGTGAGTGAACATCATGCAAAATGAGGCCAAGAGAAGCATTTCATCGTTCTTTTCATCGGTCACATCGTTCATCATTTTTTTCATCATTCTCATTCATCTTCCCACTTACATATACTGAGAGAAACAAATTAAGGATCACAGGAAAATTCAAACGTTCCTTTAATATTTTCCTGTTTTCTTCACCAGCTTTGAATAGCGCTGTAGTGATGAAAACTGGAAAGTATAAAGGAACGCTTAAATTTTCCTGTGATCCTTTATTTCTTTCTCTCAGCATAGATCTGTCTGATTGTTGTTTAACACCACACTCGGCAATATTTCAACAGCGGTCAGTAAATAATCGAGTCTGGACCAGACAATCCAGTGATAAACATCATGAGCATCAATCCACCTAGTTAGGATAGGACGACACGGGTCAACCAAGTCAGTGAACCTGACCACCCGATCCCATTAGTTGTCTGTTAGGACAAGTTTGGGTTGCTGATGACTAATTCTAACCCGGATGTTCACGGGTCTTATGTCATCTGCAGTGAAGTCTGGTCTGGTTCAAGTCTGCTGACTTGGTTGACACATGTCATCGTATCCCAACTGCGTAGATCGATGCTTGTGCGGTTGATCACTGGATTGTCTGGTCCAGACTCGATTATTTACAGACCATCGCCATATAGCTGGAATATTTCACAGTGCAGCATTAAAAATCAAAATAACCAAAAACCAACCAGGTTCTGCAAGAATGAGAACGGAACTGGGGGATGAACTGAGAATGGAAATATTCTCTGATTTTAACTATCATCGAAAATAATTCTTCCAAACTTGTTCAGTTTGTAAGCCATAATAACCAGCGTATTCAGTGAAAACGGTCTAGTTAATCAGCCTCTATATCAGATAGAATTGTGATTTCACTTGATTGTGTAGGTACAGTAACCGATGACATCACAATGGTTTGCAAAGTACCATGATGTAATATTTCCTATGGGAGCCAGTTTAGGATGATATATAGTGTTTGTTCCACTGTCATACAGTCATAAAAGTGAATAGTTGCTGACATTGGGAAATTTATGTCCTTTTAACTTCTCTTAAGTGAGTTAGTTGTATCTTACACCGCTTTTAGTTATATTCCAGCAATATCATGGCGAAATATCATTTTTCCAGTAACATGATTTAACAAAATATTTATGGTATATTATTTGGACATTTGATATAGTTGAAACGGATGATGAAATGAACCTAGATGATGCATTCTCTTGGCCTAACAATTATACACAATAAGGGTTTGTTATGAGGGACTAAAGCCATTCAATGAAATCTCTTGTTACATGCCCAGTATTGCTCATGTGGGTGACAAAGCTTCTGCTTGTGGAAGAAAGCTGGTAAGTGTTATGTGAGGGAACGACTAAGCTGAAATTTAGAAATTCTACTGACATATTTCAAGCAAAATCTTAATGCAAAATACAACAAGTAACTAATACAAATTATATTAAGTTGAATATAAAACATTGCTACTTAAAAAGATAAAGCATCAAAATAAGATAAATGTAATCTCACATATGGCTTTTTCATGATGAAAAGACAAATCGAACTCTTTGAAGACAAATATTGTTTTCATCAGAACAAACAGAAATGTGGATCACCACATCAACATTTTACATTGGTTGTAATGTGCTGCAAAACATCTCAGCGAGACAAAACAGATAAACAGGTGCTCTTCATTTTTTATTACTAGACTAGTACAATTGCAGTGAGTCAAGGTGCACTACTTGCACCTGTTCTTTTCTACTGTTATGTTAGCAGTTTTGAGTTATGCAAGTAAATTACTTTCATTTGTAATCACAAGATTAACACAATTTGCAGTGAGTCAAGGTGCACTACTTGCACCTGTTCTTTTCTACTGTTATGTTAGCAGTTTTGAGTTATGCAAGTAAATTACTTTCATTTGTAATCACAAGATTAACACAATTTGCAGTGAGTCAAGGTGCACTACTTGCACCTGTTCTTTTCTACTGTTATGTTAGCAGTTTTGAGTTGTGCAAGTAAATTATGTTCATTTGTAATCACAAGACTAACACAATTTGCAGTGAGTCAAGGTGCACTATTAGCACCTGTTCTTTTCGACTGTTTTGTTAGCAGTTCGAGTTATGCAACTAAATAACCCAACTGAAGCTAAGAAAAAATGTTTTTAAACATATCTTTATGTTTGTGTGTTATATGGCTGACTGTTGCTCACATACACATGTATGTTGCTGTCAGGAACAAACTGAACTGATGAATAAAGCAAAATTGGGCTACAGTGTGAACTGCAGTGACGGCAAGCACATTGCAAAGGCAGCATTAAACTCTCAAACCTTGAAATAGACCTGCAACAGTTGTAGCACTAAGGTAACTCCCATACTATCACATATACCTTCATCAATAGTAGCACAAAGGTAAACGTAACTCCCATACCTTACCATAAACAAACAACATTCATAGTACTAAGGTGACCGTAACTCCCATACTTTAGCATATACCTTCAACATTCATAATACTAAGGTAATCGCAACTCCCATAATTTAACATATACCTACAACAGTTGTAGCACCAAGGTGACCGTAACTCCCATACTTTAACATAAACAGACAACATTCATAGTACTAAGGTAATCGTAACTCAAATACTTTAACATATACCTACAACAGTCGTAGCACTAAGGTGGTCGTAACTCCCATACTTTAACATATACCTACAACATTCATAGTACTAAGGTAATCGTAACTCCCATACTTTAACATATACCTACAACAGTCGTAGCACTAAGGTGGTCGTAACTCCCATACTTTAACATATACCTACAACAGTCATGGCACTAAGGTGGTCGTAACTCCCATACTTTAACATATACCTACAACAGTCATAGCACTAAGGTGGTCGTAACTCCCATACTTTAACATATACCTACAACATTCATAGTACTAAGATGGTCGTAACTCCCATACTTTAACATATACCTACAACAGTCGTAGCACTAAGGTGGTCGTAACTCCCATACTTTGGTCGTAACTCCCATATACATATACAACAACAGTCGTAGCTTTAACATATACCTACAACAGTCATGGCACTAAAGGTGTCGTAACTCCCATACTTTAACATATACCTACAACAGTCATGGCACTAAGGTGGTCGTAACTCCCATACTTTAACATATACCTACAACAGTCATGGCACTAAGGTGACCGTAACTCCCATACTTTAACATATACCTACAACAGTCGTAGCACTAAAGTGGTCGTAACTCCCATACTTTAACATAGACTTACGGCAGTCATAGCACTAAGGTGGTCGTAACTCCCATACTTTAACACATACCCAAACAGTCGTAGCACTAAACTAAGGTAATCGTAACTCGCATACTTTAACATATACCTACAACAGTCGTAGCACTAAGGTGGTCGTAACTCCCATACTTTAACATAGACTTACGGCAGTCATAGCACTAAGGTGGTCGTAACTCCCATACTTTAACATTTACCTACAACAGTCGTAGCACTAAGGTGGTCGTAACTCCCATACTTTAACATATACCTACAACAGTCGTAGCACTAAGGGTGTTTTGTATAAGGGTACCCTGGGATTATTAAGGATAAAATTCTAACAATTGACCAAGCACAGCTCAATGTTAGTAGCAATATCATTCTACATGCTGTGATTGTTAGTACTACATCTACATGAGCGGACTCATTCGTCAGTGTACACTATGCAGGTATGAAGATCTACTTGAGTGAGCTTAAAGCGAAATTTCAAATTTGGGGCTAGTCCAGGTTCAAACCTTTTGGGTTTGCTTTGCTTTGCGAGACATGTGACCACGGAACCCTGCCTGAATCTTGACAGCGGCTTTGCCGACTTCAGGGTCATCTAAATCTATATCCACAACGTCCTCATCCTGTATGGCCTCAGCCTCAGCCTCAGCCTCTGGGGCTACTGTCTCAGGCTCTTGGTCCTTCTCCTCAACCTGCTGCTGAATTGTGTAAAATCATCATGAGTGAGTGAGTGCTTGAATATGGTTCTATGCCACTTTTAGCAATATTCCAGCAATATCAAGGCAGGGGACACCAGAAATGGGCTTCACACATTGTACCCATGTGGGGAATCAAACCCGGGTCTTCAGCATGACAAGCGGACACTTTAACCATTAGGCTACCCCACTGCCCCCCAAATCATCATGAAGACTACATATAGGATTGTTGTCTTCTTTGTCAAATATATTTCAATCTCATCAAGTGACCAGACAAGTGTGATATTTTCTTGATTGGTGTGGTCATGAGTGAAAATGTCAAGTTTGTTGGATCACAAGTTGAGATAAACTTGTGCTTTCATCAGTTATGACAAATTCTTGTTGTCATTGAGCAGACTAAAACTAGATCTGGCATGAGGTGTCCCTTGGGTAAGATATCAGTCTGATATTTTCAGATTCAAAGAGAATCACACCCCACGGTCCTTTTACATCAAATCTACCAACACATGGGAATTAAATCCTGAGGCTTTGTTTTATACACAACCTTCCCAAACACAAGCTAGAAACAAGGAAAGAACATTTCCCAAACAATCCTCTAAAGAAATCAAAGGACATTTCTGAAAAGTAATACCTGAATATAAACATATCACCATCAAATTTATTTCAGGGAAACAAAACTCAAAGAAACTTATTAAAAATGTTACTCCTGTAAATGCAATGCTATTGACAAGCTGGAAGTTTCAATATATAAATGACTGACTGACTGAGTTTGGTTTTACGCCGCTTTTAGCAATATTCCAGCAACATCACGGCAGGGGACACCAGAAATGGGCTTCACACATTGTACCCATGTGGGGATTCGAACCCGGGTCTTCGGTGTGGTGAGCGAACGCTTTAACCACTAGGCTACCCCACCGCCCCCAATATATAAATGAAGTGATACTTGAAGGTATAGAGCAAAGATTTGTTTATTTGTTGCTTAATGCCGCACTCAGCAATATTCCAGCTATATGGCAGCGGTTTGTTAACTCCCATAGAGTAACATAGGCTTAAGACAGGCAGTCTAAGGTTGCTTTGTACAACGACATCTAGGATCCCCACATGGGATGTCAATGAGACGGATAATAATAATAATAATAATAATAATAATGCTTTCAAACTTCTGTGGAATAGGCCCATATACAGCCTCAGAAGAATTCCAGCTAACAAACCTGATCTTGTCCTTTTTGATAAAGCCAATGAATTTATTTATATCATTGAATTTTCTGTCCCTTTTGACACCAATGTGATTGGCAAGATTAAGGAAAAGCATGATAAATATGCGGACCTCGCCTTTGAAATGTCTCGCTTGCATCCCAAGTACACTGTCGTCAGGCTCCCCATTGTTCTCGGTGCCCTTGGTTTGGTACCTCCTGATCTCTTGGCGCAGATCAGGAGAGTGCCCGGGTTCTCCACCGGGAGTACAGCCCTTCTGACACTCTGGGTAATGCAGAAGGCTGCAGTGTTGGGGAGCCTTCATATTCTCCGGAAAGTTCTTGGTGGGTTCGACTAGGCAGCGTTTCCTGGGAGAAGTCCCATTCGCTGTCTGGGCTGCGTGTAGAGGGGGCAAGGGCCCTGAGCTGATGATGAGCCTTACCAGCCTGACTGTGCCAGGATCACTCGAACCCTCTCTGCTGCATACAATTTTTAATCTGTAAATAATAATAATAATAAGTCTAATAATGCGCTAATCTCCACGCAACAAAGCATGCTCTAAGCGCTAACACCCTGATTATTATTACCCCGGATAACCCAAGCTGCCTGTTAGGCGCTAGAAGGTTATAGTCACATGACTTTATCCAACCGGGTACCCATTTTCTGCTGGGTGAACAGAGGCAATTTTGAACAAACTCACTTGCCTAAGGTGAGACCACATGTTTCACATGTGCTTCGTTGTGGGGCAGGACTGAAGTCCTAGAAACTCTAAGGAGTCAAGATGTCAAACACGGTCACCCATCAAAGGACTGTCTGAGCTCGACGCTGCTTAACTGCAACTGATTCGTGACCTGTGCTCTGTGCACAGGACCACCCGCCACCACTTGACGGATGCTTCAAGTCATTTTTTAATTATAACCTCTTTTCAGTAATTCCGGCCAAACTTTGCCATGTATAAATAAAGGCAAAACATTATCAGTTGCTACAGAGAGAAAGAGAATATTCAAAAAGGAAGGATGGTGTGAAAGGACATGGGAGGAGAAGGGGTGTAGAGAGGCAAAAGTAGTGTTAGAAACAGGAAGGTGATGACAAGAGGTAAGTTTGCAAGTTTTGATATTTGCTACTGAAGTGAAACGAATTGCAAACCGTGCATTATACATATGAAGTTAATTAAATTACCATTCCTTGAAAATATCTATTTGTGTTTTGAAGTTTTTAAGATATATCAAGAATCTCACCCAAGTGTCTACTGATATCAATTATGTCAACACGAGTTCATAAAGTTACAAATATCCGAGGCTTGCCGAGGATATTTTTACTTTTATCAACGAGTGTTGATACATATGATATCAGAAGACATGAGGGTGAGATTCTATTTATCATCAAAAATCACTCTTCATTAGCTTTCAATTTAAAATGTACATCTGTGAACACAGTACTACCATTAGACTTGCAGTGCTGCCATGTCATAGCATTGTGACGTCATCAAGTTCATGACGTCATAGCATTGTACAAAATCTACTGTCAAAATGATATCTCCTAGGAGATATTGTATGATTTCACACAAGAAATATCTCCGGTGGAACACTGTTTTGGATGATAAAATAAACTATTATTTTTGTTTTGTTTGATAACAGGCATGGTGGGTCATGTTTAGCCATTGCTATGTCTGAGGAAGGATTTCCACCTTGGGGAATTCCATTTTTGTTCCACTTGGGTACAGTGTGATTTGACTACAGCAACTTCATTTTGTCTGTAAAACAATGGTTGATAGTGTGAGCATCACTTCACTTCTCACACAAATCCTCTCTGATAGTTGGTCTCACACCAAGCTAAACGGTTATTCGAGTGAGTGAGTGAGTTTAGTTCTAAGCCACACTATACAATATTCTAGCTATATGGTGGCAGTCTGTCAGTAATCGAGTCTGGACCAGACAATCCAGTGATCAACAGCATGAGCATCGTTCTATGCAATTGGGTCACAAGCATCGATCTACACAGTTGGGATACGATGTCACGTGTCAACCAACTCAGCTAGCCTGACCAGCCAAAATGTTAGTACCCTCTTATGACAAGCATGGGTTGCTGAAGACCAATTCTAACCAGGATCTTCACTGGTACTTCATTTAGTCTGAAGACCAGTAGTTGATAGTGTGTACACACATACTCTCTGATCGTTGGTCTCACACCAAGTTAATCAGCAATGGCTATAAACTTCTAATCACAGAAGCTTGGATTGTATACTCCTCATCAGAGTTATCATCATCATTTTCAATGACAACAAGATGCTTGTCAGCCAGCTTATCATCGTCACATCACTGATCCATCATTTTCAATCAGCATGTTCAAGTTATGTTCTTTCCATCATCATCATCATTTTCAATCAGCAGCTGCAGTGTCATCATCATATCATCATCATCATCATCATCATCATTTTCAATCAGCAGCTGTTCTGAGCACAAGATGCTTGTCAGCCAGCTTATCATCGTCATCATCATCATCATCATCATCATCATCATCATTTTCAATCAGCAGCTGTTTTGAGCACAAGATGCTTGTCAGCCAGCTTATCATCATCAGCATCATCATCATCATCATCATCATCATCAGCCAGCTTATCATCGTCATTTTCATCATCAATCAGCAGCTGTTCATGAGCACAAGATGCTTGTCAATCAGCTTATCATCATCAGCATCATCATCATCATCATCATTTTCAATCAGCAGCTGTTCTGAGCACAAGATGCTTATCAGCCAGTTCTTATCACAGACACAGGCATCTGATTGAGCTCTCGTTGATTATAAATTCACTATCAATATATCTACTGAAACATATCAACACATAGCAATACATTGATACGGCAGGCTGTTTGGCAAACTCCACTGACACTGGGAATGTATTGCCATGTTGTCCAAACAAACCGTACACTGAACATCAATAGGCAGACACTGCTGGTCAAATCCAGTCAGTCTGCAGTTCTTCTTTGGCTAGTGGTTCATCTGCAATGGCCAGATGTTTGTCAAATAAACTAGTCCCTCCGGACTCTCAGCATCAGTGTGCGGAAAATAGCCACTGGCCCACTAGCCTGTGACTAGTAAAAAGCCGGTCGGCCAGTAAATCTCCACAGTCACTGGCCCGTCTGATTAATGAATTTTCATGCGGTCATTTTGTAAATATATCACTCTCTCCGACTTGTTAAGTTATAATACACTTTTAAATCATGCAAGATTATGGACTTGTAATGATGGTATTTTACCTTTTTGCAATTTTTTGCTTAGTTTCTACATGCAAATTTCAGGCTAGTGAATTATTTTATTGGCTAGCAACATTCAGACATAGCTAGCCTGACTGGCTAGCAAAACTTGGAAACTATTTCGCACACTGATCAGCATCAATGGACAAACAGACAGGTCAGTGTCCATTAGGGGTGGGCGATAATACCGATTAACCGGTATATTGCAATTCGAACTTCACGATATGATACATTGCGGTACACTTTTCGTGAACCGGTTCACCCGATACGATCGGAAATTTCCGTGATGTAGTCAAAAGTACAAATAACATTTGTATTTCCTTTATATTATTATACATTAATAGTTTTGAAAATGTTTATTGGTCATATAATTAATAGCTATTTGCACATTTGTGTGACTTTTAAACCATATAAATAAGAAAAAATAGATTGGTACCGGCACTCATTGGAAGGATAAACAAACCAAAATGGTGGACGCTTTTTCTCGAGTTCCAAACTTTAGAGCGAAGTTTTTAATTTGGAAACATTTTCAATTGATCTCTTGTACAATCACATCTGAGTCCTTACAGTGGCCAGTGGCCACAATATACTGCAATACATATTGCAATACGCCAACACATATCACAATACAGTGGAAACCTGATAAGTAAAATTTCAAGGGACTCGCCACAATTGTTTACTTATCAGGTATTTTACTTATCCAAACTTATAAAAAACTGGAAATGACAACCATATGCATGTATATGTATACATATGTAACAATGAACAACTTATCAGGGCTGGCCTCCAGTTGTCAGTGTATTGTCAACTGCTTGACGCCAGCGAGCTGTAAGTAGGATGTTTGTTTGACTGGAGACTGACACGACTGCCCCTCATGTCGGATTATGTGGTGATCGCTAATTTAGTTATCCGGTCTCTTCTGTTAAGTAATTTACTTCCAGGGACCGTGAGAAGACGTTTAGTTAAGCTGTATTGTTTACTTATCCGAGTTTAGCTAACCAGACTCTAATAGTGATAATTAATGAAGAAATTTGCCGGGACCAAAGAAAAGTGTTTACTTATCAGGTCTGTTTAGTTAAGCGGTCTTTACTTAGGCGGTTTCCACTGTATATGGCAATACAAAAATATTGGCAATACCCAACTCTAGTGTCCATCCATGAGAATCTCACAGGACTGTTAATATTCACAGATGTATCGCACCGAAGTGTACCACATCATCATGGAATCAGAGTACCTCTGAATTTCTCCCCAGAACGGAACCTTGAGATAATACGGTAATAAGACAAGTGTTAATAATTCTAAACTAAACAACGGAACCATGCACTGGACATCTAAACCAGTTGCTAAACCCATCATGGTCTAACTCACAAACAGGGTCAAAAGCAAACTCGGACAAGGCTCAATGTTCATGCTTTTCAAACCTTTTCCGGTTTCTTATTTTTCCGGAACATACGTCCGCGGAACCCTGCCTGAATCATGAGGGCAGCTTTACTGACTTCTGGGTCAGCTAGGTCTATATCCACAATTTCCTCATCTACTGGTTTAACGGCTGTCTCGGGAGCTGGTTCATCGTCAACCTAGATGAGTGGAGGCAGTTAGAAAGGCCCACTCAAAGGCATATACAGACTAGGGTTCACATACACATAAAGTGATCGGTTTGGCAAAGGGAAAGAAAATATATCTGAGATGACTTCATGCTTCTTTATCGAAGTCCCCCCGCCAAAAAAAAAATAAATAAATAAAAAATAAAATAAATAAAATTAAAAAAACAAAACAAAAAAAACAAACAAAAATTAATAAAAATTAATAAAAAAAAAAAATAAAAAAAATAAATTTGGTTTGGTAGGATGGAGATATGTGTGAGTCTTGGGGTTGAATTCTGACATTACATTTTAGCAGATGGGATTTACGCCACTTTTAGCAGTATTCAAGCAATATCTGGGTAGTGGACACCAGGAATAGGCATCACACATTGTACCCATGTGGGTGGCTTGGTTTGGTTGTTGTTTAACGCCACACTCAGCAATATTCCAGCTATATGGAGGCAGTCTGTAAATAATCGAGTCTGGACCAGACAATCCAGTGATCAACAGCATCAGCATTGTTCTATGCAATTAGGTACAATCTCATGTGTCAACCAAGTCAGCGAGCCTGACCAACCGATCCAGTTAGTCGCCTCTTACGACAAGCATGGGTTACTGAAGACCAACTCTAATCCAGAGCTTCACAGGTATGCACCCATGAGGGAAATCAAACCCAGGTCTTCTAGTGAGTGAGTGAGTATGGTTTTACGCCGCTTTTAGCAATATTCCAGCAATATCACGGCGGGGACACCAGAAATGGGCTTCACACATTGTGCCCATGTGGGGATTCGAACCCAGGACTTCGGCGTGACCAGCGGACGCTTTAACCACCAGGCTACCCCACCGCCCCGGGTCTTCTAGATTACTTCTGGTCTTATCACTCAAATCAACAATTCTATCAGCATGTTTGTGGTTGTGAGTATTTGATGGACAAATCATATTACCAACAAAAAGAATATCTTGTCATGTTCCTTGAAGAAATTCAAGAGCTTTTAAATCAATTCAGGTCATACAAAATGTATATCTGAACTTTCAAAATATAATTTTTCAAATAAACTTATAAATGAAAAAATGTTTCATGGTTAATGTAACAATGCAATGCATTTCCAAGGTTGACCGGTTGATTACAAGGACTTTTCTTACATGTGTGTGAACCCATTGCAGCTATACATATAAAATGGATTTTAAAAAAATTGGATGTTTTGACATGTAAATACAATATTCCTTGAAACTAATCATGATAACTATCTGGAATAAGAGCCATCTGCTGAAATAAAAGTATATTATTATGTGAAATATTATTCCATTACATACTATCCAATGAGGAAATATAGCCCCCTTGCTGTATGGAGTAGGAGCATGGTTAGACATAAAAACAAAACAACACTACACCAAAGTCATCGCTATATCACAGTTACAACATCCATGGCAGTTACAACATCCACGGCAGTTACAACATCCACGGCAGTTACAACATCCACGGCAGTTACAACATCCACGGCAGTTGCAACATCCACGGCAGTTACAACATCCACGGCAGTTACAACATCCACGGCAGTCACAACATCCACTACAACACAACTATACTGTAACTGTAGACAGATATCAGTTGTAAACATGCTAAAATAATCAGGTAATAACAGAAATATGATAACACAAATATTACCAAGGACGTTGTGGTTTGGTTGAAAGTGGTATAAGAACAATTTCCTGCTGCACTGTATCCCCCTTCCCTATTCTATACAACCCATTTTCATGACCTTCCCCATTCTCTTCCCACAGAGGTTACTTGTCATATCTTCCTACGAACCTATGTTCTAATACGGCCATATTTCCCGGTTCTGGTAAAATCCCCTAGCGGCAAAAAGTCGCAACACGAATCATCTCCCTTCTTTCTATCCAATCAGAACACGTGTTACATCGACTTAGATCCAACTTGACTAACACAAGTAAATGTGGGGCCACTAATATCCCTCCTCCACCGTTACATGACTGAGTTCTGTCTAAAAGAAACGTTTGCGCATCGCATAGGAGAAGAGGTTCTAGTTTTTCCGAAGCATACGGAAATTGCCGAGGCCTTGCGAATAATCACTATTGAAACAACGTTGCTGATTGCACAACCAAATCTGATTGCAACCAATCACGAATCCTGAACACTCGCACCATGAAAGGGCCGTATTAGAACAGAGGTTCGTAGGAAGATATGACAAGAAACCTCTGTGGGAAGAGAATGGACCTTCCCCTACACCTAACATTTTTCAGTTCCTCCATCCATACTAGCAAGGGTGAACAATACTAAGCCCTACCTGTAATACTTTACTACTTTTGACTTGATCAAAAAGTAAAACACTTATACTTCATGATATTAAGGATTAAACAGTTTCCATTCCTGCTATGTCCGTATTATCTGATTCATTTTAATATTATACTTGATAAACATCTCTCTTTAATCTATCTTAGCGTTTCATAAAAACATCATGAATTTTTATTTAAGTCAAATACATTCTGTACATGTTGACTAATCCAAATCTGTACTTTCTCTTCAAATAACGACAGTGTGTACTAAACAATAATTCTGTCACAGAGACAAGACTGGAATCATTTCCATAAGAAATACTAGTAATATTTTCCCAAATTCACAAATATTTACACTTTGAAACAAAAGAAAACTAAAAACTAAACTATGTTGATACATGAAAAGAAAATAAGATGGTATAATGTAAAAAAGAAAAGAATTTTGTTCCATAAGAAATACAGATAATATTTTCCAACTTCCCAAAAAGTTGCACTGAAAAACTAAAAATCAACTAAAAACTAAATTATGTTGCTACATGAAAGAAGGTATGATGCTGAATTGTAAAAAATATATTTGCTACTGAAAAAACACAAGTAATGTTTTCCCAAATTGACAAAAAGTTGCACTGGGAAACAAAAGAAAACTAAGAAAGTAAACTATATTGCTTCATGTTAAGAAAAGAAGACAGAGAATAATAAATGTTAGATTTGGTACAGAAAAAGGACAGGAATTCCCCCTAAAACATATTGTAAAGATTGTTGCCATGAGTAATATATTTTGCAATGTATAATATAATATGACAATGTTTATTATCATTCACATTGCTACTGAAAATCAACAAATACTTCTTCCATAAAAGATGCTCATGATAATTCCCCCACTTTCATAAAAAAGTTGGATTGGAAACAAAAGAGAACTAAGAAACTAAACTACATGGTTACATGAAAGGAACGATATGATAGGACTTATAATCATGCTGAAGAAAAATGTGAAACCAGAATTAAACATTTGGAAATGCAACTAATATTGTACTAACATACAATCAAAGCAACTACTCTTATTTACACATTCTACAAAAGGAGTTTCTATGAAAGGAATATTTAGCAGATAATGACAAAAATAGAAAAAAATAGGGGCTCTCAAACCTTGTAATTTTGCATATTTTTACGGACTAAGTGCCCTTTGAAGCCAGCCTGAATCTTGACTGCAGCTCTATTGACATCGGGATCATTTAAATCTATATCCACAATCTCATCATCTACAAATTCTGCCTCGGACTTTCTGTCGTGGTCTCTCTCAGCCTGTTTTGAAATTATTGAAGAAAATCTTAAACTTTTGCAACATAAGTAAATAATGTAATCACCTGCAAAAACTATCCACATGTACTATCAAACTAACAACTATCTTTTACAAGACCTGAAATGCATTTTGATTTTAAAAAAATAACACTTATCTTAATTTACCATCCAGTCACATGAATTAAAATTGAATTAAAATATATTTCAGCAATAAATATAGGGTTATCCATTTAATCAAAATGCATTTGATTACAGACACATTCACAACTACTATTTTCCACACAACTAACAACTTGAACTGTAAATAACATCATTAAATGTCTAACTACACATTCAAAATCAACGTGAAATATTACATTATTTTCTACCAAACCACAAATTCAATCTTGTTACTGTTATTCAAATGTCTAAAATCATTTACTGTATTTACCAAAATAAGCACCCTGTTCCAATAAATAGTTCCTGAAAACTTCTAGACAGTAAGTAATCTGTACTAGTGTCCCCCACTGAGACCAAACTGTACAAGACAGTCCATATCTTATTGTGTAACTTACATAAGAAACAGAAAACAAGAGTATACTATCACCATGGTAACTATAATGGAAACAGTTTTAGCTTCATTTGAACAATGTCTTTTTCCTGCCTGTCAGTCTCTGAAATCAAATTTGACTTGTTCTGTAAGATTCTAATGTGTGCCTCTTGGCAATTTTCATGGTGCTTATTTTGGTGAATATAGTAATTGAGATATTTTGATCCCCTATTAATTTGTAATAACAGGAACATAGTGATGCACCAAGCTGAGGGATCTCTGATCAATGACTCTACATGTACGCTGCTGGAAAGTGCATGGTTCTATGTGGTTTTAGACTGAAGGAAAACTGACTGACTGACTGAGTTTGGTTTAACGCCGCCGCTTTTAGCAATATTCCAGCAACATCACGGCGGGGGACACTAGAAATGGGCTTTACACATTGTACCCATGTGGGGAATCGAACCAGGGTATTCGGCATGACGAGCGAACGCTTTAACCACTAATCTACCCCACCGCCCCTTTGATGTGCTCTAAGTGATGCAGGTGCGAGTGAGTGAGTGAGTGAAAGAGTTTAGTTTTACGCCATTTTTAGCAATATTTTAGCAATATCACGACTTCACACATTGTACCCATGAGGGGAATCAAACCCGGGTCTTCGGAATGACGGGTGAATGCTTTAACCACTAGGCTACCCCACCGCCCCAATAAACCCTGTGATACAGTTACACAAAAAAGAGGAAATCTTTTGAGTTAAATAATGAATGTTTGAAGTTTTGTTTTCCAGACATGTCTGGGTACAGCAGCAGAATCCTTGATACAGACTTCCAGGATCAAGTTTATACATTGGCTTAACATGGTAATCATTATTATAGGAAACCGAAAGCTTTGGTGCATCACTGAGAAAATGAGGTGAGTTGTTCCATCACTTCTTGTTTACATAGAGATACCTTCCTTTACAGCAATCTAGACACTTCTATCACACCTAGACATTAATAGTCGTCACACACTTCTAAACCTACATCAACAACAACAAACAGTTCACTACGGAAATGAAGATTACAAATTACAAATGAAAATGACAAATTAAACCTTGTCCTCCTTCAAGTTTGACCTAAAACAACCCTGACATAGTTCAGATTTGACAACATATGCAACTTTCATCTTGTGTTATTTCGAACTAATAGATAACCTTGACCCAGTCAACTTGGCTTAACCTTGACCTTGTATGACCCTTACTTAAAACTAGAACTAGAACTACATTGACCTACAAACCTTCTTCTCTGTGACATCTTTCCTTGCCTTGTGACCTCTAAAACTCGCTTGTATTTTGGTAGCTGCTGATGCAAGATCAGGGTCTTCGAGATCGATGTCTGCGATTTCGTCTTCCTCTGTTTTCTCTTGAGGCTGTTCTGAATCCTTTGGCTGTTAGTTAGAACAATAACCAGTAAACATTAACACACGGTTAGGTTTAAACAAACACGAAGAACAACTGCTAACATTACAATAGTAGAGGTAACAAGACCAATCATGATGGCCACTGACTCCTCCCTGAGTCTTGGTTCCCATCAATGTATTCCGTAACACAAATCCATACACCATAGTATGTCTACATTAATTGGCTTTCGACTGGCAGATATTCTGGGTGAAACAAGTCAAAGCAACCCGAATTCCTGCTTTAAATAGCGGTAATATGGGCTTTCTTTTCGGTGCTAACCTTAACAAATGCACTATTAAGGCTGTTGATGGACCAAAAACGAACACTGACATAGTTTGACATGTTGCAGGCTATGGTGCAAAGGCCAAGGTCGAATATCGTCACTTTCTGTTGTGACGTCACTTGAATTGTTCGATGACGTAATTGCATTCGGGCAGTCCCCTGTCAGAAGTTGATTTGGGTAAACTTACAGTCAAATTCCTTCATTGTTTCCTTTTTCTTTTCAACACAAATTCCATGTATTTTAGCAATAATAATGGTAAAGCTATTTTTTCGACGGGCAGTTAATGGAAGACCTCAGGCTTCTGCAATTGATAATGCCCTAAAAAATAGCATTACCCATATATTAGTACAAATCTAAATATGCAACAGTCTCTACTTATTACATTCTGTTCTTTTTTCCACATTTCAAATTCCAAATTTCAGTGCATGAAGTTTTCATGTATACACATCAAATACTTGTCTATACACTATGCCATTTAGAAAGTGGTCAAAGCAGCAGTGGCTGAGCGGGTTAGGTGGCTGACTTTGTGTGCTGGTGATTGCTGCCTGACTCTGAGGGTGTGGGTTTGAATCCCAGATGAGACTCAACCCAACAAAAGTACTAGAATCTGTACTTTACTGAGAAAGTGTAATCCCAAATATAACATGTGTTACAAATACTTGTCCATTAGAGCTAGATATTAATAAAATCCACAATCAGCGACCAACCCAGGAATAACTGTCCATTAGATACATATACTTATAAAATCCAAAATCAGAGACTTCCAACTTGTAACACATGAATCAATGTCCATACAACCAAAACTAAAAATGTTCCGAGTCAGAAAAACTTTACATCAACATCTGCCATGCTGCTCAAAAACTTCGCAAGCTTCTAAATATATACCTCCACCATATTGTCTTTAAAAGCGGATATAAAACACAAAACAGATGGAGCCAGTATTTCAGCACATCTTTATTGATTCCCAGCAACACAGATGACTGATCCCATTCATCTTCCGTACCAGAAGCTAGCTGTGCCTAAACCGTCTGCATCAGTTTATCAAAAGTGTCTCCAGCTCCTGTGCAGTGTGTTCTAATGAAGCTGCAGGTCCCTCCCACAAGACATACACATGCTGCACCACCAATCCATCACTCTGGTCAAGTCCGTCTACTCTCACCCATCATCCTGCACCTTAGATGAACTTTGCAGCAACTGATAGTCAAAATGTGTTTGTGGGGTGGTTGGTTTGTTGTTTTACGCCACACTTGACAGTATTCCAGCTATATGGTGGTAGTCTGTAAATGATAAAGTCTGGGCCTAACAATCCAGTGATCAACAGCATGAGCATCGATCTACGCAATTGGGAACCGATGACATGTGTTAACGAAGTCAGCGAGCCTGACCACCAGAGCCCGTTAGTCGCCTCTTACGACAAGCATGGGAAACTGAAGATCAATTCTAATCTGGACCTTCACGAGGGAGACACACATGGGTTGCTGAAGATCAATTCTAATCTGGACCTTCACGAGGGAGACACACATGGGTTGCTGAAGATCAATTCTAATCTGGACCTTCACGAGGGAGACACACATGGGTTGCTGAAGATCAATTCTAATCTGGACCTTCACAAGGGAGACACACATGGGTTGCTGCAGACCCATTCTAACCAGGATCTTCATGAGGGAGACACACATGGGTTGCTGAAGACCCATTCTAACCAGGACCTTCACGAGGGAGACACACATGGGTTGCTGAAGACCCATTCTAACCAGGATCTTCACGAGGGAGACACACATGGGTTGTTGAAGACCCATTCTAACCCGGATCTTCACAGGTGTGTTTGTGGGATGGGGCAGGGGTGCATGGAATTTTTCTACAATACATTTCTAGGATGTCAGAAACAATAGTGAACAAAATATTCTTCCTCAGGATTTTACAAACACAAACATGTAAACCATCATTAAGAAAACAAGTGCTCAGATTCTCCTTTTAAAAAATGTACATTTTGAAGCCGTGACGAAAAAATCAATCTGTCTGTCCACAAAAATAATGAATGTTTCTCATCCTAAATACAACTCTTCAATACATCAACATTTTAAGATCTATTATCCTACCTCATGTAAGAATGTCCATCTCTGATTGGTTCACATGACCTTGAATAAATTACCACATCTGCCCAGTGCACAGCGGTACACCGCCTAAGCAGGATATAAATCTTTGCTAGGGAGACTAAATCATTTATACCCCGCCCCATGGAAAAAGCATGCATCCACAGCAGTCAGTGAACCCTGAACCAGTGGTTCGGTTATATATTATTATATATATATATATATTCCTTGCTTGACCCGCAGTGATGTTGCTGGAATATTGCTAAAAGCGGCGTAAAACCAAACTCAGTCAGTCCTTGCTTGACCAAAACTGAATGACAAAATATTGCTGACACTGCACACCTTTAATACTCTAAACAATAATGAAAAAATATCCATGTTGGGTGCTACAATTCTGATGTAAAAAAGGCAGTGCACTCAAATGCCCCTGCACCAAGAATATATTTGTATTCACTGATGTTACTGACAGAAGACACAAAGGACCCTCGTGGGACCACAGCCCAGCCAATTTCCATATCCTGCAAATTATCAACTTGAAACTGTACCACCAATGACCATATCCCTACCAACAGCCTCCTCAAAACGCCATTCCAGTAAATCAAGAGATCAGAAAGGTCTACAGCGCTCTCATTAACGCTTGCTGTACCTCGAATCATCCAATTTGTCTACATTAACTGAGCATGCATAACACAATTACTGTTGCTGGATGAAGCTACAGGTTGACGGAACAATCAGATACGAACAGCCTCGTTTACGGCTACAATCTGTTAATGATCGTATTTGCCTGCGCCAATTACTGCACCAATACTGCCACAAAGAATTACCACAATTGCCCATTGGAAATGTTCCATTACTGAATATGGATTATCCATGAGGGAGTTATAGACTCGGGCTGTTCCCTACCTCCTAATTCTGTAATGTAACAAGGCCTAAACATCAAAGGATATTTTTTACATGTTTTTTTAATCCTTTATTGTACAGGTATGCGATTAGGTTTGAAAAGTTATAGTTTTTCCCTGAATTGTGGTTCAGTTGTGTTGCCAGTACAAAAGATCAGGAGACTTTTTGTTTGAGGGATTGTGACGGAAGGGACCAATGATACTAAAGGAACGGGGGACATGAAAACATTATATGAAAAATGTACGTGAGCAAAGTATGAAGACCCATTTCATCCTATATTAACGCTAAGATTGCTTTGTGGATTTGTGAAACTGGGCCCACTCCTTTAAAGACCTGTGTGCCATGAGACGAAACATCCATCAGTCATGTGGACCATTTGCAAACAACCATATGAGATGAAGGAAAACCAAGTTCTATGGATAGTCAACTTCTTTATTGCAATGAGTGCAACGTTTCGGTGTAGGTACTAACACCGCTAAAAGCAAGTGATCACTTGCGTGATAACGGTGTTAGTACCTACACTGAAACGTCGCACCCATTGCAATAAAGAAGTTGACTATCCATAGAACTTGGTTTTCCTTTATCTATACAACTTCTAAAATGCCTCACACAGAAGTTAACCATATGAGATGCTGTTACTCTCCTTTCATTAGGGGTACTATTGAGGGGGGGAAATGACTATGCGATAGCGATAGTCTATTGCGACCAACTATTGCAATACTATTGCACTATTATTTTTCACCTTGAATTGTCATATTTGAAGACATTTCCCAGATGAATGTATAGTTTATATGAAATAAAAACAAGTTGAAGTAGTTTCAGTGTCTTTTAATAACTGACAAGAAACTTGAAACCCAGATCAAGTAAACAGTTAAAACAAACTCAATGAAGCTGCAAGTCTGCACCCAAACAGCCTGTATTTTGCGCTGCGCATTCATCAACAGAAGTCGATTACTAAACTATCGATAGTCACACATACTATTGATGCATCGACAGCTTTTCGTTTCTATCATCAATCAATTGCTATCGGAGACTCAACAATTGCAATCCATCGATAGTTTGATGCATCTTTACAGCCTTCATGATCCCCATCTGTACAGGGTGAGTGAGTGAGTGAGTTAGTAATATTCCTGCAATATCATAAGCACCAGAAATCGGTTTCACACAGAGTACCCATGTGGGGACTCAAGCCTAGGTACGACAACACTTTTAACCACCCCATGGCCCCTTCCTAGTAAGAAATAAATCCAAGCCAGCCGGACCAGAGACTGTTGAGATTTACTGGCCCGACTGGATTTTTACTAGCCATGGGCTAGCGGGCCAGTGGCTATTTCACACACTGGACATAAATGGCAGAAACAGCATTGAAAATTATATGAACGGATCACTGAAAATCAGTGATGACACCAGGTGTTTGCTGACACCACTCAAAAAATTCGCATAGAATTTGTAGTAAGGAACAAGTAAAAAGAAGGGACAAAACCATTTCCACATTCATACGAAATCCTTGATAAATGCAGCGTCAATTGTACAATTGTGTCTCTATCATGAGCATATACTCGTTTCAGCAGTTTTACAGCTGTATGATGCTGTTTGTAAACAAATTCTCGATAATTGGAAAGATTTCTTTAAAAAATCCCCATTCCCGAAGAATGTCATGCTGTCCAGTATCTAATGAAGGTGTGGGACAAAAGGAACCCTGGCCCAGAATCTC